AAAAAATTGAATGAGTCAGATAAATTTCGCCGCGGAAATAAAGGACTGGGGAATTTATAAATGAAAGAAATGAGTGGTCACACTTTTAAGGTATGTGTGCATCGGTGGCACAGTGGTTAGGACGCTCGCCGACCATGCACCTGTTCCGAGGTTCAATCGCCGATCGATGCACACCCTATGTCAATGATTGGCCTACCAAATTTGGGCTACCAATATCAAAAATACCGTGTAGAGTCAAGCTATAATAAAATATTTAAAAAATAAATAATACGTTGATGTGGAGTCTATAGATTCCACAGTATTTCAGGATGACAGTAGTGGCTGAATTAAGTTCTTTTGTATATATGAATCCAGTTATGTTTGGAGAATTTCCATTGTTCCTGTTATTTGAATTATTGTTCGGTAACTGATTACTTCTGCAAATTTTATAATGTTATAGCTGTTTGAACTGCAACAAGATGTGTACGTCCATACACAGTGAAGTGGCAGTCTTCGGTTATTAGTATAAGAAACAAATGTTAGATTAGAAAATTAAAAGAAGGCTTCTAGAATTTTTTCATTCAGTTGTCTCATTATTTTGCATTCGAAACACTCGATTTGTATGTCTTATGAAAAAACGCAAGGTAACACATACAAACATCACAGGAAACATTTCGTATTTTTTCATTAATTAAAATTATACGAAAAAATTCAAAAATAATTCAATCAGAGTCAGTTTTCAGATGCTCTACTTGTAAACATAGCGAAAAAAATTGACTGTGAGTGTCAGATAACGTCTTACAAACTTAAATCAGCTATGCTTTCATGTTTTGTGAGTCATTTGAAACCATTTGAAGTAAAAATCTAAAGTTTGTGTAAACTTGCTTATCAGGCACATGGGAGATTTAAGGACAAAATTTTTCTTGGGTATTTTCAATCTTCCGCGTTCATTTTACCCAGCGCTGACTTTACTATTAAGATATTTTCAGGTCAGTTGTTTAACTAACCAGATTCATAAGTGATCATAACTTTGTAACATTTCGTTCAGTATACGTTTCATTCGCTGATATTCAGCGATAATTAAGTTACAATATATGATATCTTTTCAGTATTAGAACAGAATGCAGTCATTTTGCACCAAGTTAGGGGTTTTAATATTAAACACAGTATCATGCCTTAGATAGCAAAAAAAGCGCAGAAACTCACTGAAATCTTATACCTGGTGACTGATTGATCAGAGACACCAAGCGAAAACATTTATTTTACGACCACGTGTCAACTTAATTCTCACGTCTAAGTCTGATAATGCTGCGATATTGCTAATCAGTAACATTTTGCAGCTACACTAGTTTTCTATCGAGTGTTTCACTGATGAAGTGTCGTTTTTATTTAGGTACTAGAGTTCGTGATTAGTGTGTTATTCAACAACACCTACTGTGACACGAAAGATAAGCACAGCTATAAAATGTTTACATTCCTTCTGCTAAATAACTTCGAGACTGAATACTTTCAAATTTAATATATGTGATAGCTACCTCTAGGTATTTTAAAAGTACATATTTAAATGTGATGTCCATCTAAGCATACTGACAGCCAAGATGATCAGTGTGATAACTCATCATTAGGTCAATTAGGATATCTTAAAGTTGATTATTTCAGAAAACATCTTTTATCCGTGAGAGAATTGCTTTCGTTGGTTAAAACTGATTATAGTGACTCTATGAAAAATTATCAAAATACACAATGACTCAGTATTAGGTGCTTTAATTATTTTTTAAGGGGAAAAATCAAAATGTGTTAGTGAATTTGGTTGGTGGAAAAAAGATGTACAGTGCACAGCCTCTATTACTCAAGTAGTGATTTTAAACGAATAATGGAAGTATGAAAAATGAGTCTATGAAAGAAATAATGCAATCAGCATTCAGAATTTTCACGCAATTACCAATAAGCTTTCTTACAGCACTACAGATTAAAATCTTTACTAAGGATAATTCAGATTTATTATTAATGACAGGAAAAATGTGTAGTGTTGATTCACAAAAATCTCCCATGCCTTTTCATATGAAAATAAACTGAGTGCTGCGTCCACTTATATTAAGTTATTGATTTAAAAACAGTTAGTAGAGAAGCTTTTTCACAACTTACTGTCCACTATTTGTAGTGTGTATTTCTGCTGCCTACAAGCAGACCATAAATATCCTATGCAACAAATTACTGCTGATTTTATGAGATGACTGTACGAAGAAGAGTAGAGCTGAGTGATTTGTAGAAGAAAAAATAAGTTCACTCATCCGGAATAATTCAGTCTCATCACAAAGGTTAATTTGCACGTATCTAGAGGGGCTAAAATTGTCTCATACAAAAATTGTAAACTAAGTATTATTATTATTTATCAACAAACAAGACTATGGAAAACAACATGTAGAGTTAAATTCACGGACTTGTTTCAAACTAAGACGAAACTTTTCCGAATCTCATGGTTATGGTTGAATCGGTGAAAAATCTATTTTTGACTAAAGTATAAAAATTTGCGTCTAATCCAATATGGTTTTACACAATATTTCTATGACTCAGGATGGTTTTCCCCACTCATATGAGCAAGTGGCAACTTAAATATTAGGTTTTCAAATTTACGATATACAAATTGTTACGATATTTCACACAGTACTCATTCTAAATGGTCGTGATAAAAAGATATCCAAAGTAGAATGTGGTTCACAGACTTTTTTCAGTGAATATCAGCCAAAGCAGAAGAAATGTTTTAGTGAATTGTATGCCCAAAGAATTGTGAGCAGAAGACCAAAGCAAGAAATAATGATAGCTTTTATTCCTCATAGGCTTTTGGTGCAAAAATAGAATTTTCAGCATGTAGTACAGTAGTGCATCTAATTTCCCTATTCCAGTGTCAATGATCAAAACTGGGCATTTACATTGATAATATTGTTCGATAATAATATAATTATAAAATTAAAATATTAAAAGTAATGTAACAATTAAAGAATAAAATGCCCATTTATTTAGTGTTCCTCAGTGAGTTAGTAGTGTCATGCATTACACATAAAATGTGTGACGAATAAGGTATTGTAGAGTTTTTATACTGGGTCATCCGAGCAAACAGTCTTCTATTGTTTCTCCTAGTTCTACCTGATGAGGTGCAAGGAGATAGTCGTTTATAGACAGGTTGCTCAGAATCTGACAAGGTTATATTCGCTAATTTCTTGTATAAGTCCATATTTCTATCTACAACAGTATTAACGAGTTGGTTCAGAGACAACCCACTCACCCTACTGACAGGTTTAGTGCTCTTTGCAGTGTGACAAATTATTTCTTAACTGTCATTAATGTAAGTGTAGAACATAAGTGTAGAGTGTGGTAGAATTTAATTCCATATCAGGTAAGTTTATTTCTAGATATCACATAGCAATGCAGTATTAACAACTAGATGACGTTTTGAGCACAATTTATTGCTTATGACTGTATCTTTCTTAAGTGGACCACAACAATTAAGGGAAAGGAATATACAAGGATAAGTGAAATAGAAGAATTTACAAGCTTAGGAAGTAGAGACTGAATGATACCGTATCCTCCTAACTACCGTAAGTCGAACATTAAGTAAAATATTTTTCTAGAAACCAGGAAAGATCACAAGAAACGTACAGTCCAAGGGATTTAAAATTTGATGTAGTCTCAATTTCAGTACCACCTCTGGAATAGAATCATGCGGGCGAACCAGTTCACGTAACTCTCTCTTGCTTCTGAAGGTGAGATCAACAACTTGAATTTTAGAGAGATCTAGCTTAAGACCATTTGACAGGGTCACTGGCTAATTTCTTATAAAAAGTTATAAATTTTGGAGTAATATGACTGGGAAGTAACCGACACACAAACAGCCAGATCACTGGCGTACTTAAAAAGCTGGCTGCACCAAATTGGAAGTCATATTAGAACCAAAATAGAAATGGAGAAAGAAAAACACTATGAGGAACACCAGCTAGAGTGATTATAGCAGCAGAGGACTCCATTTTTCAATCCACTATGTCTCTTGTGTCCCAACAAGCCTATTTAACGACAGAGGCCTAAGTACATAGTCAAAGACAGACATGTAATCAAAGAAGGCACACCGAAGATATCTGGCACCTCTGTCTAAATTAGAGACAATATTATGATATAAGACAATAGCAGCATCTAAAGTACACCTAATATGTGTATTGGCAAATTTTTTAGGATCACTAAAAGCCTTCAGTGAAGGCTGAGGGTTATTAAGGGCAGTTTTTGCATTCTTTTATTTCACTTTTCCAAACAGTTTGACTATTTTGTTTTTTTATTACCATCAAGTTACCCGACTTAGGGGATAAGAGCAACATTTCCGGCGAATTTTTCTGTTTTTTTATTTTTTTTCATACAAGATTCACGCTAACTGGTTCATAACACTGGATGATGTGAGACAAATTTTGACAAGGAATACAGAGAATTCTGTGAAACCTTTGGTAAATAAATGGATTACCTTTCACTATTCTAGGTACATTTTTATTATTTTTTGCCTGATTGACCAAGACAACACTTTTGCATTAATATGTTGTTTTAGACGCTCTATCAAAACATCGAATGACAAGAATCACAAAGTGATGCAAATCAAAGGGTTGAAAAGTGCCCACAGAAGTAAGTGTATTTTCTGTTTCACATGATCAAGAACATCTAGATGTCATACCGGAGGATGCTGTAAAAAACAATGCCAATATGAACAATTTTAGGTTGCAGTATTAAGATCAGGTGATAGGGAATTCACTTTAGGAAGTAAAACACCAACTTATATTTTATGAAAAATTGAATTTATCAGCTATTCCGTGTGTGAACCATAAATAAATCGTTTGGTATAGATTTTCAGAGGTACTTAGACACTTCATGCTTTCAAATGTCACCTTGACATTTAAATTAATCATCAGCATGAGAAGATTTCGTTGTAAAATAAGGATGAATGAATTAAATGATTTAAATATTAAACTGCACAAATTCCAACTTACTTCTATACGCGATAAAATCAACGTGGTAGGCGATTCATCTACAAGAAGAGAAATAATGAAAAAGAAGTAAACATTTATGGTCTCTAAGGTAAAATGAATTTTACATGGTTTTGTAGAAATGAAAAAAAATTATACTGCGAAAATGCAGAATACACTTCGACTACTATGGTGACAACTTGTTTACATTTTAAGTAGGGAGAATAGTTCAAACTAGTCTATCAAGGGCAAGTTTTCAGAATATCTCTCTTGAGATGTTATTAGCACATTTACTCAAATTCTGAAACAAAATAAGCGTATACTTATATTTTTATGTAAATTGATTCATGAATGGCATTATAAGAGAAGGAGAGTAGTTGTGAATAAAAGTATATGCATACTTGAAATTTCAGATTACGTTTCATCAAGTTTACTTCTCTTATCTATACAATTATTATTATTCCCTTGGGTTCCTAGTGGAACATAGGGCTTCAACTGCACGTCTCTACTTGCTTATGTCTTCTGCTGTACTTTTCACCTGCATACATGTTAGTCTATACTCTTTCAACTCATCGTCACACGATCCCCTCCATGTCACCCTTGCACTGATGTCTCGCTCGCCGCTTCCCTTCCGGCCTGGTTACACTCGAGCAATGGCCTGACGCGCTGCCACCCAGTAGCCTCCTCAGCGAGTGTCCAATCCATCTCCACTTTCTCCTGCAAATTTGTTGGCTGGCGATTGGTTCTTGCTTTGTTTGTTCCCAGCCATAGTTTCTTGTTGGTGATTCTTTCCGTCCTGGCCATCTGATCTTCAGTATAGATCCAGCGAAGACAGTTGTTGATAAAGGTAACGTCTGCAACAGGCTGTTGGAAATATTCTTTGTGACCCACCCGCCAAGTTCCTGGTCCGTTCCGTATAGAAGAACTGATTGACTTGACGTTGTTTGTATTGAAAATCTGACCGAATTTTGTTGTTGATGCAGGCTGAGTGACGAAGATTTCCTTCCAGATTGGTTTCAGGTTAATGAGTGAATGTGTTTCTCGCCTTCCCGATTCTCGCTCGATTTGACATCCTCGTCCGTTCCGACCGGCTGTAGTTGAGACAATGCTTCCTAGATAAATGAATGATGTCACCTCTTTCAAATCCCTCCCATTGATGAAGATTGACGCTGGATGTTGCTGTTGTTGGTTGGTTGGTTGGTTATTTTCATAACCTCCATCTTTTCTTTGTTTACTAGGCAGATATATTTGTATTCATCAATATGTTGTCATATATTTCTAACGGATAGTGAAATTATTCGGTTGAAAATGGTTATTTCTCCCCACAAGGACTAATGTACATCAGATAAGTTTGACAGTCTTCTACTACTCAATACCATTGTCAGTGAAATAATTTTTATTTAGCAAAACAAAAATTAAATTCAAAATTAAATAGTGTATTTCTCAGTGTTTAGCATGATGGGGTCCTTTAATGTCTGTCTTTGGTAACCGGAATGTCTTCTTTCAGAGCATTCACAATTTTTATTTAGTTAATCAATTTTCAAGAAGTTATATAATCATTTGGCTGATGGAGTAAAATCGTAAATGTTAAGCAAAAGAAAATAAGGAAAATTTCAACCATCATTTATAATCTGCAAGTAGAAACTAAGGTAAACTAAACCTGTTTTCTCAGCGAAGCTGCATTTAGAAGATAAAAGTGTAGCATGGCGAGAAAAATTAGGATTCAAAAAGTGAGAGCTATTTGTACGATGATGTTATCGTTGTTTTCCGCCTCATTTATTGTGTAATTGCTTTACATATGTCACTTCAACATCTGGTATTAACTGAACGTTTCAGTAAAGTGAGCTCTTTTTTGTAGACAATTATTTATAACTTGAACAAATTTCACAAAATCTGGTATAATGCTGATTGTGTACAGGGGTCATATGCGTATGGTACTAAACGACTAAGTAATGTACATCAAAAATATCAGCCAAAAGGTTATCACATTTGAAATTCAACTGAGAAAACAGCAACTATGATCATATTTACTACATAATACAATTTTTCACAGCAAGTTCATATGTAACAAAATATTAAGTTGAGCAAGTCTCATTCATATATTCTGTTTGAGATTAAATCTATTTTCTGAATAATTTAGAAACCATCAAATTTTAATCTGAATTATGTTAGTGCTCAATTGTGGGCGGAAAACTTAAATTTTTCATTTAGACTTATGAGACATTGTCACTGTTTCTCGAAAGCAATGAAAGGATACATGAACTAACGGTTGATTATCATGCAACAATGGAAAATAAAACATTCTGGCAAAGAAAATGAACTTTATGTACTGAAAATACAGAAGATAGCAGAAGTAAATTGAAGTTATGGAAATATGGGCTGCAGACATTCATCAACAATCGCCTTATCTGACTAGATAGTGAAAATCAGATGGCCAGGCAGAAAGATAAGTAGCTGAGTATTCTGGAAGTCAACTAACCAGTCAAGGAAACTTTGTTAAACAAATATAAGTTGCAAAATGAAGGTTGATCCGGCACTAGCTGAAGAGACTGTCGAGCGACATCACACGCCGGGCTGTCGAATGTAACTGGAGTGAGAAGAGTTGGGTCAAGGGTCTGAGTATGACACAAAGAAGATAATGACAGTAACAAAAGATAAACTCTATAAGCAAACGTGAAGCCTGTTGCAGATGATAGCAAACAGCAAAAACAAATGAAGACGTAGGCGTGAAGCCCTACATCTCACTTGGAACAAGAGGACTGAATAATAAAAATCACAACGATAAAAGCAAGTGACTTCTCTTGATTCCCTCAAGATGAATGCCATTGGTAAAACTGTACCTGCAGAAATGTTCGCAGCCAGCAAAAAATAAGTTTTGTAGTACGATTCGTAAAATATGACTATCTCTCTGTTAAATTTGGTCTACAGGAGTAATTCACCAATTGGTGAGTAAGTAAGTAAGTGTTAGTCTTCTGAGAACGACTGATATAAGATGTTGAGTATATTTAATCTCAGGAATTTCTTGGCCCGTACGTATCTAATCTACCTAAGTGGTTGAACCAACCAATTCACTGAAGAACATGTCATTTGTGTCTTACGAACTGTTTTGGGTAGAAGTATAAAGTATTTTCTTTGAAAAACGCCGATTTAAACTATCTCAGAGAAGTAAAGGTGAATTGATATCCTGTTTGAGAAATTTGACAAATCATTAAAGCCGAAATATTCAATCTCATAACATAGATATATTACTATTGCTATTATTTTGTACTGAAACAGATTTCAGACATGTATATATATATATATATGGACTTCCAAGTTGTGGCTGGATTGGAAATTTGTATTCAGTTGTTTGGAAGTGTACCAACAATAATTTTAGGCTGCTCACATAAATTCAAGCAGTATGTATACGATTGTCTTAAAACGATGTCATTAAAATCATGAAATAAATTACCAGATTTTATTGGTATTTATCATTTAAAAAATCCGACAAATTTTCCGTTTTGTTCTCTTGAATTCTTGAACCTTTACGAGCATTCAGCTTAATCGTTTCAATCTTTGCTATTTTCACTGTAAAAATAATGTTAGATAAGGTGTCTTTCAAGCTGTCCAAGACAATGTGGCAGCATCAGTCTTGAACACAGTTGTGATTAAAACAATCGTCTGTATACTTTAAATTGGAGAATTTGAAGTCGTTCCTATAGCTTCATTGATCTAGGGTGATGGGTGACAGATACTTGTTTTCCACAACAGATCACACGTAAAAACAGTTTTAGCTGCTATGGTTCAGTAGTTCTGAGCCAAACTTATGTTTATGATTTCGTTTCTCAGAATTGTCATTCATAGATGTGGACCTTTAAATCAAAACAACATAAAGTGTCAAGGAATGCTTTCTGATACACCACGATGAATACTGTTCATCACAGTGAGACTAATAAAACTAAATTTGTAATTAGTATGTTATGTGGTGAATACCAAAAATAACCCTGTGTTTTTCTATAGTCAGTATCCTCGAATCTATGACTTTGTAAGACCGAATGTTATAGACTTTATAATAAATAAAATAATGGAAACACCCATCATCTTCGGTGTTTGAGTGGAGAGGATGGATGTGAAAAGAAATGGTAAGTAACAGTTAGATTACTTTGCAAACAACAATTAAGTAAATTGGAAAATTAATAAAAAGTCCGATTGGTCGAGTTGTTATCGAAAATTGTGACGTGACAAAAACATCAAAACAAAGTAGAGAAGTATAGTTACCAGGGTTTTATGAGATTTATCAGATTATCTTTATGCAGAGATCAGTTTTGGAATCTTTTGACATCAGTGACCTCTGAGATGAGAAGTATCCATTGTTGCCTACATTTGTGATCACTCCTCAACAATTATTTAATTAATATTGTTTCTTGTTTTACCTTTGATCTGATGTTAGTCAGATTTCATAAAACTAATAGACAAATCTGATTTTCTTGCTAAGCGGTCATCTGCATGTGCTACTCAACAAACACCTTCGATTCAGATGTTTATGTTTATATGTGTGCATATATTATTTCATGGGTAAATTTATGACTGGTGGACAGTTAAATCGAAAATCAACTCATACTTCAAATGAAAAATAATAATACTCTGACTAGACAAAATCTGACCAAACTGAAACCGATAGAGAGTTATACTACACAGATTAATAGTCAAGTTTATGTTCTAACATAGTCATTGTGAATGAGTCATATTTCTGGAATTAAGAAAATCAATCCTACTTAAAATATCTTAAAAACAAAATAAAATATGAAACGAGGATTACCTAGAAAGTGAGTAATCAGAAAGAAACGCCCGAGTTTTAATGCGACTATACTTAGACAGAATAAACAAGTCAGTAGTTTTTGGAAAATAGTGCTCTGTAACTCAGTAACCGCTAAATATGGTTTAAAAACACTTCTGTTCTGAAAATGTGAAGAATATTCTTTTTTTTTCGAAGTTTGATAACGAGAAGCGATTCTAAGCCGTGTCAAACTGATATGGAGATGACAGTAATATTGTCAATGTTGTCAATGCTGCGCAGATAAAT